AACAGGGTGTCTGATAACATAACTTTCACAAGAACTAGACGACACCTGAAGCCATGATTTTTCAGCTGAAAGAAGCCAGATAACCTCCACGTACACCCTCAGATCGCTAACGCACAGCTGACCTTATCGAGCAAGCTTTTCCCAAGCTCGACTCCCAACGGGGTATCCAATCAAAAAGCAGCTTGCCGGAAGAAAACCATGTGGGTGGTTGTCAAAACTAGGGTCCCTTTTTGGGTCCTTATTATAATACGGCACCTAATATTTATGGTACCCAAAAAGGGGCCATAATTTTGACAATCACCCATGTATAATCTCAACAAAATGTTCACCGTTGGAGCTCGGGTTGCTTTCCTTCTACACACTCAATAAACCCTGAAACCCTACCTACTGCCTTTCCCAGCCTGAGCCATGCAATTCAATCTATTATACTGAACTTAGAACCCTAGCAAAAATTAGAATTTTAGCTGTTTCTTAGGGATTATAATAACCAAAAATTAACAATTATTTCTAAGTACCCCTATGTCAATGTCTAATCATACCCGAAAGCCTGGGCACTGTGGCACCGAGTTCCGGGCAGGCTGACTCGCGTCTGCGCAGGGGCGCGGCCCTGTTGCAAAGTCTTCGTTGCAGCAAGGGCTCTCAGCGTTTCGGCGGTTGTGGGTTCAGGCATGAGAGAATTATGATTCGGAATCTTGGACATGAGAGGACTACAGCATGGGAACACGAAACCGGAAGCTGAAAACGATGCGGGTGTCGGGCTCCTCGTCTTCAGACTCAGGAGTGTCATGTAGTGGCTGGAAGGGTCAGGGCCAAAATGCGCGCCAGGGGTGTAGCACAAGTTCTCAGAACGATCTGGGCTGCCCAAATCTATACTGAACTTAGAACCCTAGCAAAAATCATAATTTTAGCTGTTTCTTGGGGATTATAATAACCAAAAATTAAAAAACAATTCTAAGTACCCCTAAGAGATGAGGTGCCGAGCAATGCTCCTCTGGCGTATGTCCGAGCATGTGCTTGACCAGCGACGAACCACAAGCTTCACGCAGTTAATGTTCAGGGTTCTGCGATTCGAGAAGTAGGTTCAGTTTGCAAATCAAGTCCGGAGGCTAGACTGCCTGGGTTTAAGGTTAAGTGTCAGTAGTCATCGGATGCTTTCACCCTTAAGGCCGTGTGATCACGACCTTGCGGGATAGGGGCTTCACAGCCGAGCGACTCCATCAAAACAACTGCAAGTGCCCTGCCTTAAGCCGTCGCCGAAACACACTGAGATTGTCTGTAGAGTCTTGCCCGAGGCTCGACTCTAATACCGGCGAGCGAGTCGCCATGACAGTAGAGCCAGGACTTTCATGTTCTTTGATTCCCACAAGGCCCATACATGCTACATGCGACGACTGAAACCAACAAGCCAAGCCAAAAGCGGTGGAACCTCCTTCAGCTCTTAACACCTGACCTCTCCAGCCAAAATACGCTCTTAACCTCGACAGTTCTGCAGGACCCCTGAGAGCAGAGCAGGTGCCGGCGCCGCACTGCGAGCTTTCGGCGCAGCGGTGGGCGAGACATGCCGTGAAGCCTCGAAAGTGAAGAGTTTGGCCTTTAGGGCCTTTAGGGTTCTTAGGGCCTTTAGGGTTCTTAGGGCCTTTAGGGTTCGGCGTAAGTGCCCTAGAGTTGGAACATGCAGCAGTCTGCAAACGAGCTAGGCCTCAAGAGAGCGACTTACCAACCAAGTTTACTACAATGATGGGAGGCAAAAACGGGGGTTTAAGATTCTTGGGGTACGGATTCCTTAATATGAACCCTATTATTATGGGAACTAAGTTTACCATAAACTCCCAACCTTGGGCTTGCGGGGGGGGAGCTTTTAGACTTACCAAGGGCCTCCGGGAGGAACCTGCAAGTCCAGTCTGTGAGTTCAAAGTGGCAATAGTACTGATAGCAATATGGGGGTACCTTATTTTGGGGTCCTTATAAGAAGGATCCTACTATTTAGGGTGCTATATTAAGGTCCCCGATTTTCGGAAACGCCCATATAGCAATAATAATGGCTGGTGCTGAGATTTCTTATCCTTTCCCGTAGCGCCATCAGGCTAATCACGTTCCAACTGCCGGGCTTACAGGCCAGGTTTGGGGGCTCAGGTTGTGGCAAGCGCACAGGTAGAACATCTGTGTCGTTCAACTGTTGCGGTGTAAAGCGTTTGGAGTTTCGTGAGTAACCACCAGAAGCACCTACACACACACACACATCGCATCAGGCAAGGATTTAGCTTTGCGTTCGGAAACTGAGAGTCCTAAACTCTCTAGACCGCTGGCCACGTATCCAAACTCTGGCTTGTACCTACAATGCACAGTACAGTGGACTACCATTCAAGATCGTAAGGGCCCTGTCACAGGGTGCATGGGAGGTCCGTTCCAGCTGATAGTACACCCTCTTCACAAGCCCCATGGAGGTATTGCATACCCTTTATAGAAACCGTACGGAGCCGTTCTAGATCCCTAGTACTTTGGGGAACACGTCGGCGGTCCTTGGTAAAATGGTAAAACCCCAAGCCTTCTCAAACCCTTGTAGGTTCCTTGGTGAAGTCTCGAGGCGCAGGCACGGACATCGCGGCTGTGGACGCGGCTGTCGCCCTGGTCGCGACAAGGAACGCTTGAGGGCTTTAGGATTTCACAGAGGGTTTCCAGAACGGCTGCGATGAGGAATAATGACGCGGGTCTACATGTTTCGGGTTCGGTGTCGAGTTATAAAGTCTAGGTTTTGGGGTTTGGGCACGATGGACAAGGGACGCAAGGAGGGTACCATGACATGCGGGCAATCTTGAGGAGCTCGACGTGAGTCGTAGACAACAGAACATCCTCAAGGATCAAACCAAAAGAACACAGACTCCTCTGGGGCCTGGCAGGATCAGGAAGACACCAACTTAACCAAGAGCTAAATCATCCACTAGTCCCGGTACACCTCGGGATGCTCACAGCTCGGCCAACGTGTGACTGCAGGACGACATCAGGTTTCGGGTTCTAGGGATGATGTGGGGCTGAGCAACTCAGGCCGTGTACACGCACAGATTGTTTGTGTTTCAACTGCTATGCAAAAGCTTCTGCACAGAAACTTTCATGCTGACCACCGCAAAGTGCTTTTGTGGCAGGAAGCCCAAAACAGATGTGGGGCGAAGGTCTCACTGAGGAAGTTTCCATACGAAGCTCCAATCCAACCGGGTTTGCTCCCCCGCTTACGGCCGCCAGCACTCCCGACTGGAACCCAGTGGCTGAAAACAGAAGCCTGCAAAGGAACCCTAAATTTCTAAAGCCCTAAAACCCTGAACCCTCAAGCCCTAAAAGCCTGAAAACTAAAGCCCTAAAACCCTAAAACTTAAACACTAAACCCTAAAAACTAAACCCTAAACCCTAATGACATCAAAGTATGCAACCTCGGCCCTGGCTGAGCCTAGGGCTCCAGTGACCTTTTAAAAACCAGGTTACAAACCATATGGGGGTTTCCGAAAATTAGGGGTACCTTCGGGTTCCTTTAAAGGGATCTACAGGGGGTTTCTTAAAGGGATTTATAAGGGCTCTAACCATATACATTATGTACGCCAGTAACCTACTGTTTGGGAGTTTCCGAAAGAAGGGGACCCTAATACAGCACCCTAGATAGTAGGATCCTTAGTTTAAGGACCCCAAAATGAGGTACCCCCTCATGTTCCATTTAGGCCACTGGAGACCAAGGGTCGGCCATGTGATGCAAGCTAGGGGCTTTCTCTTGCTGGAGACTCGGCTGTAGCGACCTGCACGCCGCTGAAGGACGACGCGCAGGGAATCAAAAAAAGAAGGACGTCCCTAGGCAGCTATACACGACACACCGAGTGTACGATGATCAGAAACGAAGCTCCTGAGCAGACTGCAACAACCCAAACCCTAAACCCTAAACCCTACTCAGGAACCTAGGCTCATGGCATCTTCCAGGCTCTAGGGCTTTGATTTTAGGGGCGCAGCTTCGCAAAGAAGGACAATTAAAAGCAGGCCTAGGGCCAGCACCCTTAGGTTTTCTTTAGGGTTTAGGGTTTAGTCATGGGGCCCGAAGTAGCTCTGGACCTCTTCAGGTACTGTTGTAGTTTCCGCTGATGGCACTTCTAGAAAGGCACGATCCAACCCCACCAATGGATCAAATGCTGGGCTTTCGATTTAGGACTGCCGTGCTTCGGTCGAGTCATACGGACATGGCTTCAAAACAGGATGGGTTAGAGTGGCAGACACAGCCCGGAGAGTTAGTCGGAGTTGGTATAGTTGCTTCGGGGACCATCCTGAGCCGACCACTACGACCACTGCCAGCGTCAACACAACGACGTCTGCTGCAGCTACTGGTATTGCTGGTAGTCACAGCGGCAATTCGCAAGGACCACTTGTGCATAGCCATGTTGTTGTTTATGATTTCCCTGCATCAACAGCCACGCATGGCTGCCACTAGGTGTAGAAAGCAAAAAGTTCCCTCCAGCCTGGATCGCACCGGGCCTCGCAGGACTCAGGTTCCATAAAGTAACTGCATAAACTGTAACTATGCCACGGCCTCGCAAGGCTTTGCTACTACATGCGCACCGCACATGAGATTCGAAACTATGGTCATCGGGCTAGCTTCCCTTACATTGCACGTGGCTTTGATCCCGGGAGCACTTCACTCCTCACAGAGTGCGAGACCGCGCATGCAGGCATAGGGTCATACACAACCACTGAGCCAAAGCATTACTCGGTTCTCCCTAAGTCGTAATATACGAAAGGGACAACCTGCCAGGGCAAAGGAAAACGCCACGTGTCGGTCAGTTTTGACCGGGTGTCAGGCAAATGCAAAGCGCCTTCACCGTGGCCTAATTTGCAACAGCTTGAGCCAGGCCCTCTCTGAGGGCAAGTCTTTGCTTAGCAAGGACAGGTGGTCAAGCTGTCGTTCTGTGCAAGAGTCGCAAAGATATGACACTCGCCAACCGCTCAAAGCGGATATCAAACATCTTCCGAATCTAAATCGTATCGAGGACTGTGGCCAGCAGTTCCTCAACACTCAGAAGGCCGACTAGGAGCTCTGCGACCAAAAAGCCATTCAGCCGTGTCAGCAAGAGGTCACGCAACTTGTCATTGAACAGATCGACATCTTGGATCTTGTCCAAGACCTGAGATCGGCACAGGCGAAATGGGAGTTTCCGAAAATTAGGGGTACCCTATTTGGGGGGTCCTTCTACTAAGGAGCCTACTATTTAGGGTACCTTATTTTCCGAAACTCCCAAATGGCTCCTCACCTTGCAACAGCCCCTGGAAGCATGACATCTGCTATCCTTTCACGTCACCGAAACCCTCCCCATACTATAGAAGCCGTCGTTCTTGACTTAGGTCGATTGCGCGAGAAAAAGCGCTTGCTTACCTTTATGCAAAAAAACATGTAGTGTAACACACTGAAACCATCAGTAGCTAAGCTCATGTAGGGGCTAATAATTGAAATAGGGCTTTTGGGCCCATTGGACTATAAGTATAGTCGGGAACCCCCAAAATGCTATAGTAGTATAGGTAATTATCAAGGCCCCTAGGTAGTAGTACCCCTCTAATCATCCTGATAGACCACTTTAAAGGAACCCCCTTTTTTTATACGGCCGCGACTCACCCGACCCACACTCTCCAGCAAAGACATGGCACCAGTTGACGGTCTGCTTCGAAGCTGGCTTGTGCCGAGCGGACGTCGAGCTGGTGCAGCTTTAGCACGCCTTAGTCTGGGTTCGTAAGTTAACGGTTTCGGGTTTAGGGTTTAGGAGAGCTTAGGAGAGTCTGGGTTCTTGTTAGGGGATCTAATTTCGGCTCGCACTCTCGCACAACGCAGGCACGGCTTCCGAGGTCTCATTGCTACCGCAAGTTCCCATAACAGGGATCTATTGTAAATAATACGGCTCCTTATTTTGGTAACTTAATTTAAACCCCTTAACAAAAACCCAGTCATTGGGAACTTGACAAGGAAGGAACTACTGGTAGCGCCTAGGTGGGCCTGATCGAAGCTTAGGAGGAATGATGCGAATGCGCCCAAGCTCTATACGAAGCTCCAACTGCACTAGGCATTTGCCTGCCCTTTCCTGGGTTCTTGTTAAGGGATTTAATTTAAGTTACCATAGTAAGAAACCGTAGTATTTACAATAGATCCCTATTATGGGAACTTAAACTAAATCCCTGCCTTAACAAGAACCCAGTTTCGTGGATGCCCGATCCTTCGACCAGCATGCCTCCCAACTACAATCAGCCACTCTCACCTTCACATACACTTTGCGCGTTCGGGGTCTCAAACTTCCAAGCGGCACTGTTCCCGTGAGCTTTGGGAATGCATTTTCAGTGCTTGTGGCAGATGCAGCTTCTCCGCTTCCACAAGCTCCGCCACACACCAAATCCTCGAACCCAGCTCATGTCATGATGAATCTGAAGCTGCACGGTAAGAACCCATGCTGGAAGTAGATACAGCTAACACTACAGATGCACAATACATAAACAACGAAACAGGTGCCCGCCTCGAAAAAAGCTCGAACCCCATGTCAATGGCCACAACCTGGCCGAAGCGTTCTGTCTCATCGCCTCTCTTGCGAGCTGCGGCATTGCTGCGCCGCAGGTAGTTGATCATGTCATCGAACCTGTGACCGAACTACGATCATATTACAAGCGGTGCACTAGTCACTTCGATGCCACATAAACACAGACATCTCAGTGCTAAGGTGGATGCCTCTGGGGTTCTAGACAGCGAACTTCAATACACACTCTTTCCCAGTAGACACTCGACATGGCAGCGCTCTTGGACTCTCCGTATATCATGAGAGCGGCTAGATGCGGTTAGCAAAAACTGTCGCTAAGGATACTGGCTCAAAGCCTGGGCCCTGTTTCAATCCGGTTTGGATTGAAGGGTTTCAACCACTCATGAAGACACGTGTGCACACATGTATCTGTGCCTGCCCAGCTCTATACGGTAGCACCTCAACCGTGACCAGACGCCGTCCTGCCCTGTGACCAAGAGGAGCATGAACCGAACCCCCAAAACCTAAGCGAATGAACCACGAGCACAGATCCCCAAGTCACCTCGCCGGAGAAAACTAACTTGAGGAGCACCACTCACGACTCTCACTACAAATGCCTCTTTCATTTTCAAATATGGAAGCTGCAGACCGCAGGCCGCGCACCGACTGATACAAAACCGAGCCCCTCGGATTACCTTTCCTGGCTTCCTTCTGCGGAAAAGCAAACATGCTGAAGCAGGTCAGGCAGCTTATTCATCTCACAGTGCTCGCCAGTAAGAAACTTCGGTGTTGTGCAGGGGCATGCCGTGATCTCGCGGCCCAAGGAGTCATGGGATGGTGCTCTGTTACAAATGCCCGCATGTTGATTCACCGAGAAAGCCTCAGCCGTGGGACATTCACAATTGCAGACAGGAAGTGCAACGCAGTTCTCTCAATGCGGGGACTCACTCCACTACAAGCACAGAGTGCTCTTTCGGGTATCCAGCAAAGGAACCCAATTTAGAGAAGCTTCCACAAGACTTCTTCGGCGTCTGGCTCTGGATGAATCATTCGCAGTTGTGTGCAAAAGTTCGGTGCACGACCATATGGCCACACACTCTCACCAGTTTGCCATGCATTCAGAATATGGGGAGGCAGTAGGCAGATGAAATATGGACAGGTGTGTGCAGAGAGTAGAATCTGGCGGATGCGACGATGTAATGATGTATGATAAACACGTACTAATGGCAAAACGTGTGCAAATGCAGGTGCGACTATGCCTACATGCATATGTATATATGGCATAGCAAAGCACAGTTGTTTTGTAAGGTAAGTTCAACTGAAAGTATAGCATCGCATGGTACAATCTAGTGTAGCATCGTTTAGTGTAGGTCGGTATGGAACTGTCTAGTAGAGCAGAGTAAGACGGTAGAGTATGACTAGCAAAGAAGGTATAGTATAGTATAGCATATCGGATCGTATAGGACAGTAAACAGTACAGCATAGCAAAGTCTAGTATATTTTGTAGTAAGCAGTAAAGTAGCTAGCATAGTAAGCAGTATGTAGATAGCAACAAAGCAGGAATGAGTAGGATAGTAAACAGCATAGTACACTGTATGACAAATATGTAGTGCAGTAAATGGCTCTGCAAAAGTTATAGCAATCAGGTTAGTAAATAGCACAATCAGAAGTATGGTCAAAAGCCGTGTCAATAGCATCATTTGAATATAGCAAAGAGTCCAGCTGTACGTTTTGTATACAGTATAGTATAAGTCTAGCATACTGTCTAGTAGTTGTCTTTGTTAAACTACTCGCGAGACAGTGGTTAGCGACGTGGGCTTTGTCGGCTCTTGTCATTCAGCCAAGAAGCACATATCCAATACGGGAAGTCTAACTGATGCAAAGCCGCCAGCTGGAAGCGGATGGTCTTCAAGCCGGGCTCTTCGAGCAAATGTAGTACCCTGTCATAGGTCTCCTGTCCCAAGGCATCCGCGAACACGGCAGCCAGTAAGTTGCCTGAGATCAGAGATCTATTGTTCGTTCGTTTGGCTTCATGCAACCACGAAATCAAGCCACCACAATCACACCTTCGGAAGCCCTGTGTCCAAGCTGCGAAACACGTTGCCCCAAGCATGGGTCACCATTTTCAAGGCGAAGACAGGCTTCAGCTCGTTCACCATGCTTGCGTAGGCGATTCCCTGCACCCGCTGCTCCGACCTGGGACGGCTCAGAAGGTTCAAGGAAGTCCGAAGCCTCATGCTTCCTTGCTACGGTCTGCGGTACTCTCTGGTGCCTCGATGCTAAGCATCACAGAGTCGGCTTGATGCAGCTGCGCCGCTCAAAAAACGTCACGCCAGTATCTTCGGTCCACTGCAGGATATCGTCACCTTCCTCCGCGGGCAAGACACCCTGAAGGGTCATGGGGATGATGGCGTGGCGGACGACATCATGCGTGGTAGATCGCTCCGGATCAAAGAACTCTCGCCCAAGCATCTCCTCATTTCCCCCAATCCCCAGGTACAACAGCTTAAGTGTAAGGCTTGCAGACGAATATGCACTTCAGAACCCACAGCATACTTGGTGCAGTGTAGAACTGCTCGTCGAAGACTAACAACAGAAACTCCTTTAACACCACATCATTACAAAAAAAGCAGGAACGCTTTAATTATGCCACTAGTATAAGTCTCTTCGTAGAAGTCCAAGAGGTGCCGTACGCGGATGCCGCGACTTGCCAGCTCGATGACCTTCTATTACAGTATCTTATAGTATTTGCGTAGTACATCTATAGTCATAGGAAAATACGAGTACGACGATGGTACATTATGCAATGGCGGTTTCGATGACCTTCTGCTGCGCAACGTTTCCATCGCCTGCAGAGAGGACCTCCTTGGTCCCACGTTGAGCCGAAGCTAAAAGCATTTAGCATTTTAGCTTTTGGGGCTTAACTTAGTTTACGGTTTAGGGTTTATGCGGGTTTAGGTTATTAGGGCTTGAGGGTCATGAAGGTTTAGGACTTTGTAGAGTTGTCCGGGGTCGTTTAATATGCGGTTTTCGATGGGTTTTAAAGGGCTCCTTTGGTTTTTGATCCCTTCGGACACCGGACACCGGACGATCCGACACTCTTGATTAAAAAACGAAGAAAAACCTTAGCATAGGGGCCTTTGTAATTAGAAGAAGGTTTGGGGGGTGCCTTATGGTATATAGTCTTTCTTTAGGAGCCATTAGGAATCACATGAATGAGTATTCGGGCCTCTACAAAACCGGTAGTTGTCTACATACGGCTTGCCTTCCAGATTCCCAAATCAAGGCGTCACTCTTTGACTCTTTGATAAGTAACCCTAAGAGGGACCCTTTAGGGTTTAGGGTTTAGGGTTGAGGGTTTAGGTACTCTAGAGAACCTCCCCAAAAACATCAAAAAGCCTGCTTCGGGACAGGGCGTCGTCACTCGGTGCTGGAGCCGTGAGGTCTAATCCAAGCTCTGGTGGAGGCACCTTGAGGAGATCCTGAGTCAGCTTTACAATAATATGGGAGTTTCCGAAATTACGGGTACCTTATTTTGGGGTCCCTATAATAAGGATCTCATTATTTAGGGTACTATGTTAGGGTCCCCTATTTTCGGAAATTCCCATATAGCGGCCTCAAAGAATTCGAACAGGGTACCGTTAAATGGGTCTATAAGGGTTGCTATAAGGGGGGATGGTCACGGGAAACTTGGGATTTCGGGGCTTTGGGCCCTAGGCTAAGATGAAACGTGACTGAAGGGAACGCCTGCGATCAGTAACGGCTTTGGCTATGCAACCAGGGCTCAGGGAATGAACAAAGGGCGATCTCCGTGAACACAAAGTGAAGGCACATCCTCAGCAGTTCGGAGCTGTCGGGGCCTTTGTTCTTTGTTGCAAATGTTACTGCAGGGAGTGTGTACCGAACTAGGGCTCCTTTGAAGGTATCTGTCTGAACATTCTTATCGTGATTGTATTCATTGGTTACTGCTACTTTGTTAGGGGTATTATAATTGCTATGGTTATTTTATGAGTATCCTTAATGTCGTTTCCCGATTAAGATACCCCCCCAGATTAGACGGGGCCGTCCCGGGCATCTCATGGGCTTAATGAAGAAGTCCATTAGACCCCACCCCTATAGTACCGGAGCTCGCCTAAACCCCCCCCGATTAGACGGGGCCTTTCCCGAAAATCCCCGAAGTAAGGATTTAGGGGATTTAGAGGCTTATGACTTAGGGTTACTACTGTACTACTACTGTACTACTACTGTACTACTGTACTACTGTACTACTACTATACTACTGTAATACTACTATACTACTGTACTACTACTGTACTACTGTACTACTGTGCTACTACTATACTACTGTACTACTACTATACTACTGTACTCCTATTGTACGACTGCAATACTTTACTAAGTACTCTCTATCTACTTACTACTATACTTAATAATTAACCCCATCCCCACATAATCGGGGGGGGCCGGGAAAAACTTGAACCCATGAACAAGTTCAAGCGGGCTAACCTTGACAGCGGGGGGGGGGGGGGGGGGGGGGTTTGTTAATCGGGATCCAACATTAGGCATACTGATAGTGACTCAGACCCCAAACTTTTGATGTAAGAACCGGAGGAAGGCAAAGCTCAATACCAGGGTTTTTCCCGAAAGCATCGCGAAGGGTTCTTCCGTGTGGAACGCCGCAGCTGAGTGCATAGATGACAGACATAGAATCAACTTACTTGACTCCTTACTCTACACTCTACACTTGATACTTGACTCTACACTTGATACTTACTTACTTACTTGACCCCTATGACTGACTCTCTACACTTGACACTTGACTCTATGATACTTGACTCTACACTTGATATACGACTTACTTACTTACTTACTTACTTCAATCTACTTATTAACTTACTTGACACTTGACACTGGACTCTATGTTATGCTATCTCTATACTTACTTATACTTACTTGACTTGCTTACTTATACTTGCTATACTTACTATACTTACTACTTACTGACTTACTTACTGACTCTACTTACTGACTCTACTTACTTACTTATTACTTATGATTATACTTATGATTACTTACTTATACTTATGACTGTCTCTCTATGCATCTATGACTTACTATGACTTATGATGACTTATGACTTACTCTCTACATACTATCTACAAATCTCGGTATCTTAATATTTCCTTTTAAGGGCGGGGGTGGCACCGTCGGGGTCCATCGGGAATGCAACCCTTCCCAGGGATTCGCTGCCTCGGGCGTTCAAACGCGAGGTAAAGTTACACATTTTAGGCGCGCGGGTGAACCCTTCCCAGGGATTCGCTGCCTCGGGCGTTCAAACGCTAGGTAAAGTGACACATTTTAGGCGCACCGCGCAACCCTTCCCAGGGATTCGCTGCCTCGGGCGTTCAAACGCTAGGTAAAGTGACACATTTTAGGCGCCCGGCGCAACCCTTCCCAGGGATTCGCTGCCTCGGGCGTTCAAACGCTAGGTAAAGTGACACATTTTAGGCGCCCGGCGCAACCCTTCCCAGGGATTCGCTGCCTCGGGCGTTCAAACGCTAGGTAAAGTGACACATTTTAGGCGCACCGCGCAACCCTTCACAGGGATTGGAACTCTCGGGCGTTCAAACGCGAGGTAAAGTTACACATTTTGCGGTTCCCGCGCAACCCTTCACAGGGATTCGCCTCCTCGGGCGTTCAAACGCGAGGTAAAGTTACACTTCTTGCGGGCGCCGCGCAACCCTTCACAGGGATTCGCCTCCTCGGGCGTTCAAACGCGAGGTAAAGTTACACTTCTTGCGGGCGCCGCGCAACCCTTCACAGGGTTTGGGTGCAGTTCAATTTTTTTTGCAACCCTTCACAGGGATTTGCATTTTGCAACCCTTCACAGGGATTGGCGTGGTCGGGTGTTCGAACGCGAGGTAAAGTTGCATTTTTTGATTTGCATTGAAATGAATTTTGCAACCCTTCACAAGGATTGGCGTGGTGGAGTGTTCGAACGCGAGGTAAAGTTGCAATTTTTGATGAGCATTGAGATGAATTTTGCAACCCTTCACAAGGATTGGCGTGGTGGAGTGTTCGAACGCGAGGTAAAGTTGCAATTTTTGATGAGCATTGAGATGAATTTTGCAACCCCTCACAGGGATTGGCGTGGTCGAGTGGTTGAACGCGAGGTAAAGTTGCAATTTTTGATGAGCATTGAGATGAATTTTGCAACCCTTCACAGGGATTGGCGTGGTGGAGTGTTCGAACGCGAGGTAAAGTTGCAATTTTTGATGAGCATTGAAATGAATTTTGCAACCCCTCACAGGGATTGGCGTGGTCGAGTGGTCGAACGCAAGGTAAAGTTACACATTTTGCGGTGCCCCGCGCAATCCTTCATTGAGAGGGATTAGCTTCCTCGAATGTTCTAATCGGAAGGTGTGCAGGTACTGTTGCATGGTCTTTGGGCGCTGCGTGTAACCCTCTGCATGGATTGGCGTGGTCCAGGGTTGAAACGTGTGTGCAAACTACTACTTGTATCCTTTCCGCCGTGCAACTCTCCACAGGGAGTGGCGTGGTCGATTGCAGGAACTTGCATCTCTGCGAGGTGCAATTGGCAACCCTTCAGAGGGATTGGCAGATGCATATATCGATAATATACGCACATATATATATATATATATGTGGTCGATTGCAGGAACTTGCATCTCTGCGAGGTGCAATTGGCAACCCTTCAGAGGGATTGGCAGATGCATATATCGATAATATACGCACATATATATATATATATATATATATATGTGGTCGATTGCAGGAACTTGCATCTCTGCGAGGTGCAATTGGCAACCCTTCAGAGGGATTGGCAGATGCATATATCGATAATATACGCACATATATATATATATATCTCTATCTTTCTATCTATCCATATATAGATAGATAGATAGATAGATAGATATATAGATAGATAGATAGATAGACATATATTCATGCGCCTGTACGGCGCGTACGCTGTCTTGCGACGGCGCAACGCGCCGCTGCCTGGCCGATGACCTGCAGGCTCGGAGCTTCTTCCTGCTTTGTAGAGGCTTTCTCCTTGCACACGTTTGACTCGCAGGCTGCCTGGTCGATGACCTGCAGGCTCGGAGCTTCTTCCTGCTTTGTAGAGGCTTTCTCCTTGCACACGTTTGACTCGCAGGCTGCCTGGTCGATGACCTGCAGGCTCGGAGCTTCCTCCTGCTTTGTAGAGGCTTTCTCCTTGCACACGTTCGACTCGCAGGCTGCCTGGCCGATGACTTCTGCAGGCTCGGAGTTTCTTGCTGCTCTGTAAAGGCTTTCTCCTTGCACGTTTGCCTGCCTCGTTTGGCTCGAAAGGCAGAAGAAGGGGAAGAAAGGGAAAACGCGTTGCAGTATTTTGCACACATTGCAGCATCTTACTACACCTAGTACGCTTCCTTGCCTGCCTTGACGCTGTCTTGCGAAAGGGCCGGTGTGGAGATTATTCTCAGCTTATTCTCATCTTCTCAGCTGACCATACTTAGGACAGTTGTTTGCCCGCCTCGACGCTGTCTTGCGAAAGGGTCGGTGCAGACACTTTTGCATTTGAACATACTTGGGACAGTGTTTTGCTTGCCTCGACGCTGTCTTGCGAAAGGGCCGGCGTGGACGCCTTCTTCCATCCCATGGATTCGCGGTTGCAGAAGTTCCGCGCCGATTATGCCCAGCAGGGCGAAGACTGGCTCCGCGCCGAGCTGGACAAGCAAAACCGGCAGGACCTGCGTGGGCTCTGTGTCGCTGCGGGTGTGCAACAGAAGTCTGCCGGGCACACGCTTACCAGAGCGGAGCTGTTGGAAGCTCTATCAAAGAGCATTGCCGGGGAGCAGGCTTCATGGGGAAGCGGCGTTCTTGAGGATTGTCCATGTCAGCTTCGGTTGCAGTGAACCGTCAGCGTCGTCGTCGGGTGGGATGTTTAGTGCTCTGCAGTGAAGCAGTTCTTGGTGTCAGGCCGATGAAGCGGCCTCGCAGCGAAAGCTGCAGGAGCTGCGCACGGGTTATGCCGAGCAGGGCGAAGCCTGGCTCCGCACCGAGCTGGAGAAGCAGAGTCGGGATGAGCTGGCTAAGCTCTGCGTCGCTTCGGAGGTGCGACAGAAGTCAGCCGGGCGCAAGCTCTCCAGAGCGGAGCTGTTGGAAGCTCTATCACAGAGCATTGCCGGGGAGCAGGCTTCATGGGGAAGCGGCGTTCTTGAGGATTGTCCATGTCAGCTTCGGTTGCAGTGAGCTGTCAGCGTCGTCGTCGGGTGGGATGTTTAGTGCTCTGCAATGAAGCAGTTCTTGGTGTCAGGCCGATGAAGCGGCGTCGCAGCAAAGGCTGCTCGAGCTGCGCACGGGTTATGCCGAGCAGGGCGAAGCCTGGCTCCGCGGCGAGTTGGGGAAGCAGAGTCGGGCGGAGCTGGTTGGGCTCTGTGTCGCTGCGGGTTTGCAACGACACCGTGCCGGGTGCACGCTTACCAAGCCGGAGTTGTCGAAAGCTCTATCACAGAGCATTGCCGGGGAGCAGGCTTCATGGGGAAGCGGCGTTTTTTAGGATTGTCCATGTCAGCTTCGGTTGCAGTGAGCTGTCAGCGTCGTCGTCGGGTGGGATGTTTAGTGCTCTGCAGTGAAGCAGTTCTTGGTGTCAGGCCGATGAAGCGGCGTCGCAGCAAAGGCTGCTCGAGCTGCGCACGGGTTATGCCGAGCAGGGCGAAGCCTGGCTCCGCGGCGAGTTGGGGAAGCACGGCAAGGATGAGCTGGTTGGGCTCTGTGTCGCTGCGGGTTTGCAACGACACCGTGCCGGGTGCACGCTTACCAAGCCGG